AATTCACATTATATCAGAATCCTTTCCTTGCTCGTGCTGGGGAGTGGTATTTTTGATCATATTTATTTCTCTTCCTTCATTCTTTTATAGAAACTTACCAGTCATTCTGTCATATTCCCCCCCCCCACACACACACACATTTAAAACGTAAATGTATCATGTTTTAGTGGGTCGGGAGTCTGGGTAGAGGTTAGCAGGGTCTTCTACTTAGGGGCTCACCAGAGTGAAATCATGGTACCTACCATTGCTGCAATCTCCTCCAAGCCTGGAGTCCTTTTCCAAGGTCACAGGTCGTTGTTCCCACTTGCTTACGTGTACAAGGCACGTATACCAGGCTGGGGCTTGTGAGGCCCATCTTTGAGTTCTACCTACCACAATTATAGGCATGAGACCCAAAGATGTAAGTGTCTCACAGCAGAATGGCCTTTCCAGATTCCTTAAGTCTTCTCATTTTTTTATACCTTGTTAAAACAAAATGGGGTAAGAGGGAATCCTGTTGTCATCTCTCTCCTATGTGGCAACCCTAGTTTCTGTTTTTCTCTTTGTAACATCAAGCCAAGTCCACTTGTTGTTATATGGCACTATGGTGGGCAAGGAATGAAAGCAGCCTCTGCCAGAACTGTGTACCCTGGTCCTCTCCTTGTTTTTTGTGATATTCACCTGTACTCCGTCTTCCAGCCCAGTCTTGCAACATCTTAGGGTTTCCAATTTGTATTTTTAGACATCTAAAAAATTATTCCATCAATAAATACTCACTATAAAAAACTTCTACTACTCATCTGTCAGTTTGTCATACTCTGGTGGCTTGTGTATTGCTATGAGGCTGGAAGCTATGCCCCTGGTGTTTCAAGTACCAGCAGGGTCATCCATGGTGGACAGGTTTCAGTGCGCTTCCAGACTAAGACAGACTAGGAAGGACAGGGCCATCCACTCTGAAAAAACTGACCACTGAAAATTTAGGAATAGCAGTGAGATACACTGTCTGATATATCACTGCAAAACTTTTTGAATAGCCATGAAACATTGTCTGCTACAATGGCAGAAGATGAGCCCTTCAGGTTGGAAGGCACTCAAAGTAGGACTGGGAAGAAGAGCTGCCTCCTCAAAGTAGAGTCGACCTTAATGACATGGATGGAGTAAGGTTTTCAGGACTTTCATTAGCTGATGGGGCACAACTCAAAATTAGAAGAAACAGCTGAATACATTAGTTAATAATTAGAATGTGGAATGTATAAATTATGAATCTGGGAAAATTGGAAGTTGTCAAAAATGAAATGGAACACATAAAGATTAATATCATAGGCACTGGTGACCTGAAATGAACAGGTCTGGAGTCCTTTTTGAATCAATCATATGGTCTAGTATGCCGGGAATGACAAATTGAAGAGGAATGGCATTGTCAAAAAGAACATTTCCACATCTGTCCTGAAGTACAGTGCTGTCAGTGATAGGGTAATATCCATAGGCCTACAAGGAAGACTAGTTAATATGACGATTATTAAATAGTCCAACCACTAAAGCTATAATCACAATCTACTCAATGGCAGTGGCTTTGGCTTTTTGGTATACTGGCCATCTATATTTCTACCATCTGTATCTCTATTTTGGAGATATGTATATCTATATCCTTTCGTCATTTTTTCAATTGGGCTATCTGTGTTTTTATTGTTGACTTGTAATGGCTCTTTATACATATAAATGTTTCTTATCAGATAAATGGTTTGCAAATATTTTCTCCCATTCTGTGGCTTTTTACTTTATTGATGGTATCATTTGGAGATAAAATTTTTTAAATTTTGATGAAGTTCGATTGTTCTATTTTTCATTTTCTTGCAGTGTCATATCTAAGAAACCCCTGCTTAATTCAAGGTCATGAAAATTTTACACCTGTGTTTTCTTCTTCTATGAATTTCATAGTTTTAGATTTTCTATGTAGGTCATTAATACATTTTGAGTTAGCTTTTTGTATAGTGTGAGAGCAGAGGTCCATATTTACTCTTTTGCATGTAGATACCCCAGTTGTCTCAGCATCATATGTTGAAAAGACTATCCTTTCTCCATTGAGTAGCTTGTTGCCCGAGTCATAATTCATTTTATCATGGTTGTAGAGATTTATTTCTTGGCTCTCAGTTTTATTCTATTGATCTATATGTTTTCTTTATTCCAGTACCATACTGTTTTAATCACTGTAGCTTTGTATTACATTTTCAATGATTGGTAGATATCACTAGTGAAGCCATCTGGTGCTGGGCTTTTCTTTGTAGGAAGTTTTTATTATTAACTCAATATCTTTGTTATAGGTCTAATCATGTATTCCTGGGACATATTCTGGGACAAATAC